CCTCCATGTCGCGTGCCAACCGGGAATTCTCCCGACGTAATGCTGCGCACTCGGTTGATGCGGTTCTTCCCACCAGGGATTCAGACGCCGCGCGGATGGTAGCAACGGCGTCCTTTATCTCCTTAACGATTGTGCCCTTCAGGTGGCCGGACTTCTTCACGGCATCAAGCACCTTCAGGGCACACTCTTGGATCTCCGAGACCAAGACGTCGGAGCGTTTCGCGTCCTCGTCTGAGGGTCTGCGGGTGGTAGGGCGCTTCACCGGTTTCGGAGTAGCCACTTTTACTCCAGCTGCGGCCTCCAACTCCCTATCTCTCTGGGTAGCGGCAGCCAAGTCGGCCTTCGCCTGCACCAGTTCGGGGTCACTTTCCTCCCTAGACGACTTTTTTGTCGGCCCGGCACTACTGCCACCCACTTTTGTGACGGGCGTCCTTCTTGCCGCAGATGATATTGCGGGTCTCTGCACTGGTGTTTTAAACACAATCTCGGGTGCTTCGTCTTCCGGTTTGGATTTTTCAACGATCCTGCGCTTTCGTTGAGATCGTCGTTGCGGCAACGGTGTTGATGTGCCGGCAACGTCACTTCCTGCTTCCGAATCCAAGGAGAGACTTGATCCCGAGAAGTCGGAATCCAAGCCCTCCATTGCTTCCGCCTCCATCTGGTCCAGCAGCCTCTCCACAAACTCCCTCCTCGCTGCATCTACCTCCTCCTCATCCTCCCACTCATGGCCTAACTTGTCCCCCCCAGAATACTTGGGACAGCCCACCCCCGGCGAATCCGGTGCGGTGGGGAAGGATTCTCCAGCTTTGCTGGTACCTTCCTGGGGTAATAGTTTTTTCGGTTCTGCCATGTCATCTGTTTTCCTTTTTTACCCGGGTGAGGTCCCGCGGAAGGCGAAAAATGAAAACGAAGAATATGGGGACAGAAAGGATATTAGGACAGGAAAGGAAACAAAACACAAACAAAACGAAGAAAAACAAAACGAAAACCAAGAAGAAACTATGTACATATTTACAACCTAAACCTAACTATTTACAAATAAATAACTTAACTAACTATGTACACACACTATTTACACTCCTACCTACTCGCCGGACTATCGGCCGACATAGTAGTAATATCCCGAAGGAACTACTACTATCCCGCCCAGGGCGTACCAGAACCAAACCATTACTCGGTCAACGTTCCACGCGGACGTATCCACGAGGATGGAGAAACCTCCCAATGGCTGGAACATACGAGGAAGTCGTCCGACTCACGCCTCAGGCCCATCAACCTTTTTTTTTTTTTTTTTTTTTTTTTCGAGGGGAAAGGTTTCAGTACCGAAACGTCCGCCTTTATGAAGGGGAGCGGACGAATACTGTGGGACTGGACGAATCCGACCCACCAAAACCCCTCGGTGTTCCTCCACAAACCACGAAAGACGCCTTCGTGCGGGTTGGCATTAGCATTCGACCGCACTCCGGCCGCGGGTCTCCACTGAAGGAGCCGCCGAAGGTGGGCGCGGGGACCACTCCACGCCCACACTCCACGGATCACTCGCCTCCTTGGAGCTTCGGATGTCCCTACATCCTCCACTCCGAGTGTCCAACTTGGGGCTTCGGGTGGAAAGTACACCCTCCGCACCCCTCCTCGAGGACCGCGATCGCCGCTGCGTTGCGCTGCGCACCGCAGCCGCGACCGCGTATCGCCTCCGCGCCGGGCGCAGGCGGCGCCGACGGAGCGACGGCACCGTCTCGCCCGGTGCCCCGACACGGGCAGGGCCACACACACACTGACACGCCAACAGCGACCATATTCAGCCGTCGGCGGTCTGACCGCCGATGTTAGTTGTGTTATCATCGGCGGCCCCACACAAACGTACATACCCCGGGTCGCGAGGCGTTCCCCTGGATTGTATCCTCTGGGCGGGCACAGCAGCGTTAAACGTTACTGCGCCCGCTGCCCCGATAAAGGGGGGCCACACACACGCATGCATTCACACAAAATCCTTCCCCTCCAGGCCGACCGCGCGAGCCCGGGACACCCGAATAACGGGGGCGCCGGCCACGCGTGCCCGACCCGCCCCGCTCCGCCGACCGTCCGAAAGCGGACGCAAGGCAAGAGAGAGGGTGAAGGGAGGGAAGACCTACGCCGGACGGACAGACGGGCACTGTGTGTCCATCGCCTCCGGCCCCTCTCCGGAACGCACCGTAGCACGGTCCTCGCTAGCGCGACATCGCGTCCCGCCCACCTCATGGTTGGCCTCTTGGCCAGCCACTGCACAGTGGAGGCAGCGAGCCGCCGCGGAACATGAAGGAGCACTGTGCCCTTCCTGTCCGCAGCGGAAACACCTACCACTGTACCGTATCCTCCTATTGCACCTGCGCCCGGTATGACCAGGGAGCAGGCAACAATAGCACCTCATAGGCCTCGTCTTTAGCAGCTCCACCCGAACCGCCATCCAGCCGACCATAAGCCGACCTGCCTCACTCAGCCTTTTCGCCGCCGCCACAGGACAGCGAACAAAGGCGTTGCCGCTTCCGGAGGGGCCACGATGAATGTCCCCAACACGGACAGACGCCGCAGTGCACCCTCCGGCACGGACAACCGCGTCCACCACATCAGGCACCGAAACCGAGTCATCCAGGTTCCAGATGCGCAAGTCCACCACCTTGTCCGGTCGACTGACCCTAACGTCCTCACCAGTCACCACTCATCTCACTCTCTCCACTAGGGAGCCCGCCTTATCGTCACTAGTGGCTGCCGGGAGCTGTAACAGCCGCGCACCGGTAGCCGTAACCCTCAACTTCACTGCATCTATGCCTAGGTCGGAAATGTCTACCCTGTCCTTCACATCTTTAAGCACTGAGGCGTAAGTTACGCCTCTGGCCTCGGCCTCCGGCTGTATATCGATCACTACAACCGAGGACCGAGGCACGCGTAGTCTGTTCGGCGCACGTGCCTGCCTACCTACATCCCGTCGAACGGGAGCTGTCTCGTCCTTATTCGCCGCCGCCGCCGCCGCCGCCGCGTCTCCGCGGGCGGCGGGCGGGGGGCGCGGCGGAGCGGGCGGTGCGCCGCGTCGCGGTGCCGTCGTCTGCAGCGGGGCCGCGGCGGCGCGCGGCCGCGCGGTTATGCCACCTTCAATAGCGCTCAGTCGCCGGTCCAGTTCCCCGAAACGGGAATCTAGGACGGCTTCTAAGCGCGACATCGCAGCAGTGTCGAGAGCGCGCGGCGGGTCGTCCGCGGGGGGGTCAGGAGGCGCACTATAACGCGCCTCCAGTTCCGCCCTCAGACTCCTCAACTCGTCACACTTCTTGTCCACTGTTTTTTGCAACTCGTCCCTCTCAGTAGTGAGAGACGCACAGTCCGTCGACAACTTATCACACACTTCCTTGAGCTGTGTAATACGCTTGCGCGAGGCGTACCTTCTCGCCTCTAGCACAGCGTACTCACTAGCTACTTCCTCACCTTTTATTGTCACTTCCTCAGATTCTAAGTCCGATTCGAACAACGTCTGTATATTGCAGAAGAGCTCTGCGACACCATCGGCAGCTTCCATAGTGGCTTTCACGACCTCTTCCCGGGCTGTGGAGCTCATCCTCACCTTCTCCAGCACGGTTTTCACCGTCGCTGGCATTTCCATTACCGGCTGTAAGCTGGTATGGACTTCTGCCGTTACCTTCCTAAGAAGTGAACGGCTGAATACCTTCAACAAGTCAGCAACGGAGTCAGAAAACTCAGTACATTGCTGAAGGCCTTCTTCAGTCATCACCACCTTCCGCTTCCCTTCTGCGGCCGAGCTACCGGACTCGTCGGCGGATGATGCACCGTGAGGGTTCACCCTCATTCGCTTCGATCCCTTAACCGATGTTTTTTTAAACATCGTGATCACACACAGTAAAACACAAAAACACAAAATCACGGGTCCTATCCCTAACGTCACTATACAGTAAGCGTACTGACCTACTTACGTCAAAAACATGTCAGAACATGTTTTATTTCACAATATGTATGAAATAGACTGCCTAGTAACAGCACCGAGGCAGCGGCGGGTCGCGGGGACCCGACCGGCGCCACAGAGGACCGCGACACGCGACACGCGACAGAGCAACCGTACACACGTCCGCACGCCACGGCAGCTCAAACGCGACTCCAGGCCAGGGGATGTAGGCCCCATCTCGTTTTGTGGTTAGGGCGACCATCAACCTTTTTTTTTTTTTTTTTTTTCACGTGTGGAAAATCTTCAAAAGACCGTCACCCCGCCGGAGGGATGGCGAGGTGGTGTGTGGGTCTTGTACCCACTAAAAAACCACACGGTGTACCTACGAGCGCCTATGCCGGAGCCAGGGGATCGCGAGTGCATTCTACCCCAGCTCCGACGGCGACGGCCCGCCCTGTAGATGTTGTAGGGCAGGCCCCATCTCGTTTTGTGGTTAGGGCGACCTATTTCGCCCTACTCCATTGTGGAGGCGTGTGGGTACACGCGCACACCTCCAGTGGGGGATAGAGGGGGGCGGAGGGATACGCCTTAGGCCCATCAAGGCCCATCAACCTAACCTAACCTAACCTAACCTTTTTTTTTTTTTTTTTTTTTCGAGGGGAAATGTTCAAAACAGAACCGTCCGTCTTTATGAGAGGGTACGGACGGATACTGTGGGACTTGACCCACCAAAACCCCCCGGTGTTCCTTCGCACCACGAAAATCCGCCGGACGCACGGGAGCATAATATTCGTCCGCACGCCGGCCGCGTTCTCCATGACAGAGCCGCCTCCGAGTGTGGGTTACGGGGACCACTCCGTACCCACCCTCCACGGACCACTCCTCGCCAATGAGCTTTGGATGCCCCCACATCCGCCGCTCTGAGGGTCCAGAAAAGAGTGTTGGGGCCTAGGGCGTAAACCACCGCCTTCGGCCCCCCACCAGTAGGCCGCGGCCGCGCCTGCGTCGCACTAAGCACCCCAGGCGAGACCACGTATCGCCACGCTAGGCTGGGCGGCGCTGAAGGCACCGCCCCGCCCGGTGCCCCGACAGGTCGGGGCCAACACGCACACAAGGCCGACAATGACGTCAAACGGCTGACGTGGTCGGCAATGTCCGCCGGGCCGCGTGAAGCGCAACCCGGGGGCTCTCTCCGGACGAGCGCAGCGGCGCGAGCGTCACTGCGCCCGTTGCCCCAATTCAGGGCCCACACACACACAACACGCACACAGGCATTCACACACGCACGCCCCATACCCCGCGGCAGCGCGCGCGCGGCCGTAACCCCCGCTGACGGGGGCGCCGGCCGCGCGCGCCCAGTAACCTTTTTTTTTTTTTTTTTTAACGAGGGGAAAGGTTTCAATACCGAAACGTCCGCCTTTATGAAGGGGAGCGGACGAATACTGTGGGACTGGACGAATCCGACCCACCAAAACCCCTCGGTGTTCCTCCATGAACCACGAAAGACGCCTTCGTGCGGGTTCGCATTTGCATTCGACCGCACTCCGGCCGCGGGTCTCCAGTGAAGGAGCCGCCGAAGTTGGGCGCGGGGACCACTCCACGCCCACACTCCACGGATCACTCGCCTCCTGGGAACTTCGGATGCCCCTACATCCTCCGCTCCGAGTGTCCAAGTTGGGGCTTCGGGTGAAAAATACACCTTCCGCCCCCCACGCAAAGGCCGCGATCGCCGCTGCGTTGCGCTAGAAGCGCATCGCAGCCGCGACCGCGTATAGCCTTCCCGTCGGACGGAAGCGGTCCTGAAGGCACCGCTCCGCCCGGTGCCCCGACGGGTCGGGGCGACACACGCATACTTACCTTCGGCGACGTACTCCCTGCGCCGTCAGCAGTCTGCCCACCAAGCCGCACCAAGGCGCAGCCCGGGGATGTCCTCCGCAGATAGGACTCCCGATCTTAACATGTTAAAATCGGGAGCTGCCTACTCGTGAATACTTACCCAGATTCGCGATGCGCCTCCGGGACCGTATCCTCCGTAAGCACTACCGCGCCACACGGTTAAACCGTAGGCGCCGGTAGTGTTGCCTCCTCGAGTGTTGCCCAGCGTCCGACGACGCCTAGCAACGATCCTCCCGCTGTCTTCTCACGCCGCGTCGACTCCGTCGTCTGCGGGCGCTCCTCGCCCGGACGACGTCCTCCTCGTCGACAGCCGCGCCGACCGCCAGAGGTTTTTTATAGAGGTTGTCTCCTCGCAGCCCCGGGCGAACCCAGGGCCCCCGTTCTCACACTGGGCGGACGACCACTGTCATCACACCCAGTGCAAGTTTACGGTATGAAGATACACTCGCAGTCTTCGGCAGAGACAACTTCGTCGTCTACGGGCACTCTCCACACAACTCCGTCCTCCTCATAACTCTGACCCGACCGCGAGCGGTTTTTTATAGAGGTTGGCTCCTCGCAGCCCCGGGCGAACCCAGGACCCCCGCTCTCACACTAAGTGGACGACCTCCTGTCATCAACACCCAGTGCAAGTTTGCGGTGTGAGTCAGTCCGGCTATGCGCAAGGCACCACCGGACCCGACCCGAATGCTTCGCTCACGGCCTGGACGGGTCCCGGTTGGGGTCAGGACCCATTGTCCTAGCCGCTCGCGTCGCCCTCTCGCCGAAATCGGCCTAGGTGGCACGCCACCATAATTGGACGGGCGCCGTTAAACAGCGCCCACCCCCTACTCGCCGGGCTACTGGCCGACATAGTAGCAGTATCCCGAAGGAACGTCTACTATCCCGCCCGGGGCGTACCAGAACCAAACCATTGCTCGGCCACCGTTCCCCGCGGACGTATCCACGAGGATGGGGAAGCCTCCCAATGGCAGGCCCATACTAGGAGGTTGCCCGACCACACGCCCCAACCTAACCTAACCTAACCTTTTTTTTTTTTTTTTTTTTTTTTTTTTTTTTTTTTTTTTTTTTTTTTTTTATCGTGTGGAAAAATCTTCAAAAGACCGTCACCCCGCCGGAGGGATGGCGAGGTGGTGTGTGGGGCTTGTACCCACTAAAAAACCACACGGTATACCTCGAGGTGCCGTGGGCCGAAGTCCGGGGTTCGCACTTGGCACTCTACCCAGACTTCGGCGGCTTGGCCTGTCCTGTAGATGTTGTAGGACAGGCCCCCTCTCTCTGGTTAGGGTGCTATGCCTTGCACCCTACCTTCTCGTGGAGGCGCGTGGGTACACGCGCACGCCTCCAGGGGCCTGGTTGTGGGGTGATGCCTCCCTCAAGGCATGCACCCCGGCCCCCGTGGGGGGTAGACTCGGGACGGAGTTGGGCTCGTCCCGACGTCTACGCCTGGTCCTCCGGCGGCGGATCATTGGGGCGGAAGGATCATACTCCCGGTCCCTCTCCGCCGCCTCCTTCTGCGAAATAACTTCTTCGCAGAAGGTGAGTACTGCCAGCCACGACCCCTCGCTCCTAACCATTGCCCGAACTATATTCGGCAGCGAGAGGTCGGCCCCCACTTCCGCGACCAAGACGCGGCGCTCCTCTGCGAATGCAGGGCACTCCTCCAGAACATGCTGCGCCGTGTCTTGGTCGCATCCGCACTGGTGACACATTGTCGTCGGCTCCCTCCGTGCGACATTACACAGGTACCGCCCGAAACACCCATGTCCGGACAGCACCTGCGTAAGTCGATAGGTCAGCGGCCATCGTCGCCTGCCCATCCATTCTTTGAGATCTGGTCGGACAGCCTCGACGGTCCTCAGGCCGGCCGTAGGGTTGGCCAGCCTTTCTTCCCATTTCTCCCTGAGGACACGTCGGAGGTGGGATCTCCGTTCCCCGAGTTCCACTCCGGAGGGCTCCCTTCCTTGGGCCCTCTCGTCCGCACGCCATTGGTACAATGACGCGCGGGATTCCGCTACGAGGTCCCAAGGTGGGGAGCCCGCTAGCAGACACGCCGCCTCTCTCGAGACGGTGCGGTACCCTCTGATGACCCTTATGGCCATTGCTCGCTGCGGACGCAGGAGCAAGGCCATATTCCCCCTGGACAGGGCCCCATACCATATAGGGGCCCCGTATAGGGCCATCGATTGTACCACACCCATGTAGAGGCGGCGACAATTGTCCCCCGGCCCCCGATGTTAGGCAGCAGCCAGCTTAAAGCGCCAGCCGCCGCCATAAGACGGGGAGCCAGGTTCTTGAAGTGGAACCGGAAACCCCAGCGACTATCGAGGTCAAGCCCTAAGTACCTAATATGTGGCTTGACCTCGAGCCTATGACCGCTGACCACGATATGGGCTCCTGGTGGCGGCGCACGTCGGGGCCCATGGAAACAAAGGACCTCCGACTTCTCGAGCGCCACCTGGAGCCCTAACCTCCTGATTCTGCCGACGACAAGTGCCACACTGGCGGTAGCAAGACGGGCAGCCTCCCTGTAGTCCCGCCCGCGGGACGTTACCAGCGTGTCGTCCGCATAGCAGACTACGCTGGTCCCGTCGAGCAAGGCGCCCCGCAGATTCCAGTCATACCCGATGTTCCACAGGACCGGACCCAGAACCGATCCCTGTGGAACACCGCGCTGCATCTCCCTCTCAATCACGGTGCCGTTCCGCCCGATACACACAATTTTCCTGTCCTGGAAGTAGGCCCCGATCACCTCCCGAAGGTAGGGAGGCACTTGATGATATTTGAGTGCCTCCCTAACACAGTCGAAGGGGAGGGTGTTGAAGGCGTTTTTGATGTCGAGAGACACCGCCAACAACACCCCCCGTTGGGAGACCACCTCATCCGAGAGGGCACGAACCTGTGAGATCGCATCGATCGTGGATCGGCCCCCTCGGAACCCGAATTGGTTCGGGGATAGATCAGGGCCTACCTGAACCAAGTGCTTGACGAGGCGGCGTACTATTATCCTCTCGAATAGTTTGCCGACCTCGTCAAGAAGGACAATC